CTTCCTCTCCCCACAAATCCCACCTCATCTTGTACGTCTTGGCCCCGATGGCCAAGGCCAGCAGCTGGTGTCCCAGGCAGATCCCGAAGACAGGCCGGGGATTGGGCTCCGATAAGACCCGGCTCAGTGCGGATATCACTTTGGGGTAGGAGGCAGGATCGCCAGGGCCGTTACTCAGGAAGAGACCCTCATACTCTGGAACGGGCAGAGAAGATGACATCACCACCAGTATTCAACTAGAGACACACTTGCAGCCCTCACCATTAGAGCAAAAGCCTTATCTCCATTGTCTTCCCTGCAACTCATGTTGGCTTTAGCAATTAGACCCAGGGACAGATCTTCCACAGAAACCGTTTGTCTGTGGTCCTACACAGACCCCAGCTACTCACCGTGGCTGTCCAGTGCATGGTCCCAGGGGACCACAGTGACCTCGGCCCCACGCTGGCACAAGCATCGGATCTGATTATACTTCAGGCCACAGTCCAAAGCCAGAATGCGAGGGGTACCCCCTGCATTGAACACCTGTGGAGCCTGAGAAAGACAGGGCAACGGCTGACAGCTGTGACCAGTGGGTATAGATAGGCACACACCCACCCCCCAACTTTGAGGCCTCTTCTGACTCTACCTCAATGGTTATGGACAGACTGTAATTACTGTGCTACAGCTTGACACACGCGCCCCCTCGCCCACTGTACCTTAATGGAGACCTCCGGCACCAGGGGGCGGGCATTGGGGTCCAAGAATGGCAGGGCCGAAGGATCTGTCCCATCCTGGACGAGCTTCCCCAGCAGAGACCCCTGCTCTCGCAACTTCTTGGTCAGCTCCCGCGTGTCCACTCCTGTCAAAGCAGCATGCTGAGAGCTCCCCTCCCCCAGCTCAGTCGTGCGTGAGGTTAAGGCTTCCCGGGGAGCTTCCATCCCAGAGCCCAGTCACACACAGCTGGTCTATGGGCATCAGAGTCCTAAGCCACCCTGATGGAATCACACTACCATCCAGTATTCTCGCCAACAATCTCACATCTGAACTGTACCATGATTCCGGATCTATTTGTTTACAGAAAATACGATCAAGATTTATCTGTTTATAGAAAAAGAACATGCTAAATGATACAACGGGAATGTAATCGACAAAATGCAGATTGGGAGACTCCAAAGAAAAACTGACTGTTTCTGTCAAATAGGTTACAAGGCCCACAGATTAAAAAAGATATAATCGAATGCAATGCACCCATCTTGTTTAGATTCAGATTCAAAGAAACAATGAAAAAAATAACTTAGCTAACTGAGAAAATTTTAAACCTTGACTGGATATTTGATATTAAGGAATTACTGTTACTTTTTAAAACGTATGATGTTATTGCGGTCATGTTTTAAAAGGATTCCTTTTTCATAGATATTTAAATATTTATGGATAAATGATACAATGTCTGAGATAAGCTTTATCAGGAAAGGTCAGGGACCCCTTTCCTGCAGGTTCTCTCTTTGGCTTCTGGTAACTGTTGGCTGCTAGAACTTTGTACTGCTATTCTCAGGGCTCTATGCCATCTCTTGTTAGGTTTCAGGAACCTGCTCTCTCCTTGGAGTAGTTAGTCCCTTCACTAAACTTTTCAGTTCGGCTTTTGAGCTGCACGTGCTTCCTGCCCCAACTATGACCTGACTTATTTGTATGGAGACCCTAATAAAGCTCTCGTTAAACCAAAAAAAAAAAAATCCGGGGGTACCCAGCTGGCTTGCCTCAGTGATTGAAGCAGGTCATAGTTTGATTCCCAGTCAGGGCACAGGCCCGGGTTGCATCCCCACAGGGGAGTCTGCAAGAGGCAACAACCAATGATTCTCTCTCATCATTGATGTTTCTATCCCTCTCTCCCTCTCCTTTCTTCTCTGAAATCAATAAAACATGTATTAAAAAATAATAATCTGGGGGTTACAGTAATGGTGATGAAATAAGTTTAGCCCTGAGTTGATAGCTATGGAAGCTGGGGGGTTAATTATATACTATTCTTTCCTTTTGTATGTTTGAAATTTTCCATGTGAGAAGACCTCAGTTCCTTGCTCCAGACCCCAATCTAACATTCAAATAAGATTCTTTCTATCACAGCCTTGAACTCAAGTCCCAATAGTGCACAGAGATCTTCTCTGGATTCTTCCCATCGAGGCACCAGTCCTCTGCCCAACCACACTTGTGCTTGCACTATACCTTGCAGGCCAGGTATGCCATGCTGCTGCAGCCACTCGTGAAGGGTGCGGATGGAACTCCAGTGGCTAGGGGTGGGGCAGCACTCTCCCACCACCAATCCTGCTACATGGATCCCCGAGGATTCAAACCACTGTTGATGGAAGGAAAAGATCGTGAGGAGCCCAGGGCCTTATAGCTCGCTGTGTCGTCTTTCCCCAGTGTGTGGCAGGAACCCCGTGCTTCGGCCACACTGAATGACTACCATTCCTTAAACACACCAAGCCCCGCATGCTTTTGCCCTTTACCAGCAGTGCTACCCCCATATGAGACACTGAGCACATGGGCCCAAGGTGCCTGATTAATAACTGAAAATGAGCCCTAGCTGGTTTGGCTCAGTGGATAGAGCGTGGGTCTGCAACCAAAGGGTCCCAGGTTCAATTCCGGTCAAGGGAACATGCCTGGGTTGTGGGCTCAATCCCCAATAGGGGGCATGCAGGAGGCAGCCAAATAATGATTCTCTCTCACTCTCTCTTTCTCTCTCTCTCTCCCCCCCCTTCCTCTCTGAAATCAATAAAAATACATTTTTTTTAAAAATTGAAAATGACATTTTCCTTTACCCAAAACTGAGATCACAAATCCCCTTTTCTGTGAAGCGACCCCCAGTCACCCACTGCAGCTTGTGCCTCCTCCTTAGAGCTCAGTAGGCTCACATCATTTCCTCTGTTCTTTATACATAAAACCTCAATTTTGCAGGTTTATAAAATCAATGTTGTCAATGTGTTTACAGTGGACAAAGCTGGTGATGGACATGTTAACCAAGATACTGCCTTGTAAACTAGAATGCAGTGTATTCATAGGCTTGTGATGAGACATGGTCCTTTGGAGGAATAACATGGCCCTCACCTAGGGTTCCCTCTCCCAAGTGGAAGGCAAATTAAGGACTGAGGCTCAGGAAGCCCGGAATCAGGACAAAACAAGTTTGTGGCCCGGCTGGAGTAGCTCATGGTTGAGCATCCACCTATGAACCAGGAGGTCATGGCTCGATTCCCAGTCAGGGCACATGACCGGGTTGTGGGCACAATCCCCAGTGGGGGGCGTGCAGGAGGCAGCTGATCAATGATTGTCTCTCATCATTGATGTTTCTATCTCTCTCTCCCTCTCCCTTCTTCTCTGAAATCAATAAAAATACATTTAAAAAACAAACAAAAAAAAAAACCAAGTTTGTGTCTTTTTCACAGAACTGTGAACTCAAGAACAAGGTGATTGATACATGATAGTTGCCAATAAACATTTACTGAGCGCTGGGGGAGGGGCAGTGAGCATGAAAAAAGACAAGGTCCCTATGGTCACAATGTTAATTTGTTACTTAGGGGCATGAAAATTAACAAGGTAACAGGTAAATAAACAAGATTATAATTACACAGTGTGATAAAAATAGTGTAAAACAGGTGGGTGCACAATACCTTACTAAATAAAGATAAAGGTTCAGGGAATATAGCTAGGCATGATTATACCCTCCTCCTTCTCAAGGGATTATATACATAAAGATAACAGAAACTTGTTATCTAACAGATAAGCACCTAATAACTAGAGAAACAGGTCATTTACATGGGAGTTGCATATTCAAATTACCTCTGCTTAGTGGAATTTTTAAGATGGGTATGGAGCTTGTTACTTAGGGATTTGAAGGACAGTTTGGCAGAACCCTGTGTGTCCAGGAAGACCAGTCTGCACATGGACAAGTGTGTTCACAACACATGTGACAAAGCATCCGTGGTGATCCGGTGGCTCTAGGAGGCCTTACCCTGGTTCTGTCAGGGCCTCAATTTTGCAGGTTTATACAATCAATTTTGTGAGTGTGTTTAAGTTGACAAAACTGGAGATGGACATGTTAACCAAGATACTGCCCTGTAAACTAGAACGCAGTGTATTCATAGGCTTGTGATGAGACGTGGTCCTTTGGAGGAATAACATGACCCTCACCTAGGGTTCCCTCTCCCAAGTGGAAGGCAGATTGAGAACTGAGGCTCAGGAAGCCTGGAATCAGGACAAAACAAGTTCGAGAAATACTGCACCTAGGCACTGGGTGTGGTTACCTTGCTGAGACCGAACTCATCCGCTTCATCTGGGGGGATGCCATAGTTGCCGATCAGAGGATATGTCAGCACTAAGATCTGTGCCTTGTAGGATGGGTCTGTGAGGGCTTCGGGGTAGCCGACCATGCCGGTTTGAAACACTGCAAGAAAGAGGCCGGGCTGGGGCTCAGGAGGGCCCCCGTGGGCACACTGCCCCACGCCGCGAGAATGCCCTAGTGACCGTGAGATGGAGGGCGCTGGGCTGGGAACTTGGGCGCCGAAGGGGTGTGGGGGTGGGGTTGTGTCGGCGGGAAAATGGCGGGGTCTGGCCAGGGCAGACCGGGCAGAGAAGGGCCGCAGAGAGTGGGACGAGATCGGCAGCCGGACCGGGCTTGCTTACCCACTTCTCCGGCAGTCGACACAGCGGCCCCAAAGGGCTGGCCCCGCAGGACCAACCCATCCTCCAAAACCAGGGTCGCCATGGGAACGGAGCTCCGCGCTGTGGGCACTCCGAGAGCTGGAAGCGCAGCAAGTTTCCGCCGATGCTGGGACCACGTGAGGACCGGGAGCCCGGAGCAGGTACAC